CTGCACTAAATCTAAAACTTTCATCTGTGATTCTATTCGTTGTCGTACGTCGTTTGTGTCTCCGTGTTGAATAAAATATATACGTATGATCGAAGCAAAGAATTCTCTTTGTCTTAAAATTAGGGAATGTTCATGTAATATGACAAGGAGGGCGGAAGAAGATTTTGAGGGGGGTTATTAAAAAAAAATTAGTGCAGCAAGGGGGGGGGGGCGCGGGCTTTAAAATTTTTGAGGTTACGTAGAAGCGGCCTCTGGTTTTTCCAACTACCTTAACTACCTATTTCCGGTTAATGTGTGATACTGTATTTTGATTGTTTAGGTCTATTTAAAGACATATTTAATAAAACTGAGTAAGGAGTCATGTTTAATAGTGGACAAACAATCTTATCTGAGTTCCTCCAGGTCAACGTCACTATCTTCATCCATTTCGAAGCTGTCAGACTTATCATGTCCAGGCTCTGTAATCTCGTCATTGGGTAGGGTTAGTTCAAAAACTAAGGGCCCCGACAGTTAGGGGTCTCCATCAGCCACGGCCTATTGCCTAGAAAATTAGAAAACGTAAAAAATGCAGGTTAAGAATCAATGGGAATATGCAAAATTAATAATAATGTTACAAGGTTGATGACACAAGGTTGTAACAATATTGTTATATCATGAGTGTATCGGACTTGTTGGAACAACCTTGCAACAAGTCTGATAATATCAACAAGATTGTTACAAGTTGTTAACAGTTTGTTCCAAACTTGTTGACAACTTAAGACAATTGCAAGCAGTGCGATGACAACTTGTTGGCAAACTTGCTACAAGATGTGAAGACTTTTGCGTGTCTATATATAGTCGAAATATCAAAATATTACATTGTGTCGTCAACCTTGTAACATTCTTGTTATATCATGACTGCATCAGACTTGTTAGAACAGTCTTGTAACAAGTCTAATAATGCCATCAAGCTTGTTACAAGTTGTTAACAGCTTGTTCCAAACGTGTTACAACAACTGGGAACAAGCAAGTGCGAACACAACTTGTCGACAGCTTGTGAACGGATTTGTAACAACTTGTTTGCAGACCTGTAACAGTTTGTGCGTTTTTACACGTGTACACACAAAAAACACACAACTTGTTGACAAGCTTGCTACAAGCCTGTTGCGAACACATCTTGTCGACAAGTTGTAAGATTTTTGCGTGTGTAAGCCATTTTAGCATGCAGTAAAACCCCACATATAAACCACTGTTGTAAATACTCGTTACTACACACGTAAAAATCTCACAACTTGTCAACAAGATGTGTTCGCAACAGGTTTGTAGCAAGCTTGTCAACAAGTTGTAATAATGCTGTTATTTTATCAAGTTGCTACAAGATTGTCGCTCACAACTTGTTGACAAATTGATGAATTGCAAGACGATAACAAGTTGTTGGAACAAACTCGTAACAAGTCCGTTGAGCTCAACACTCTTGTAGCAAGTTGTTAACAAGGCGTTGTCAACAAGCTGGGAACAAGCAGTGCGAACACATTCTGTTGACAAGTTGTTGAAATAGCATTGCATGCCAGAAGTCTGCTGCAGGTTTGTTTCAAATTGTGCGTTTTTCGTGTGTAATGTAACGCGTAATGTTACACACGTAAAAACGCACAAGTTGTTACAAGTCTGCAAACAAGACAAGTTGTGTTCGCACTGCTTGTTCCCAGTTGTTGTAGCAAGTTTGGAACAAGTTGTTAACAACTTGTAACAAGTTTGATAGCATTATCAGACTTGTTACAAGGTTGTTCTAACAAATCTGATACAATCACGATATAAGAAGGATGTTGCAAGATTGACGACACAAGATTGTAACAGTATTGTTATTTCATGACTGTATCGGACTTGTTGGAACAATCTTGCAACAAGTATGATAATATCAATAAGGTTGTTGCAAGTTTTTAACAGCTTGTTTCAAACTTGTTGACAACTCGGGACAAGGAGTTGTTGACGACTTGTTGGCAGACTTGCTACAAGATGTGAGAGAGTTTTATAGCCTGTCTACATGTGATAAGTCATTTTGGCTTGCAGGAAAAACCAGGGCCTTTTTAAGAATTTGTCAGTCGGGGGAGGGCATCTACAGAAAGGAACCACACTATACTATACTATACTGAGTGTGGAAAGATGACGGATGGTTGTTTGTAACAAAATGTTTGGTGTGGTGTCGTATGTAATAGTAGGGGGGGGGGGGGG